GAGTTGCCGTCTGCAGGAAACGGGAAGCGACGCGAGGGCGCGCGGGTGAGAAGTGTGAGAGAGTGAGCGCGGGTTCCGCGTCCGGCTGGGCCGGGGGTGGCTTTCCGAGGGGAGCCCCGGGACCGCGGGCTTGCGGAGCAAGGCAGGGGCTCTCGGGGGAGCAGAGTCAGGCACCTGCAGGGCCTCTGTCTCTCGGTGTAAAAATGCCCAGATAACCGCCCTCTGCGCAAAGTTGGTACTGGCTTGGCGTCCTATTCTTCTCGGGGGAGCCCCGCAGCCCACAAGTACCCCTTCTTGCTCACAGCCTCTGCGGAGCGGACAGAGAGAGGAATTTTACACCGCCTGCTTAGAGCGGTGCGGAACCCGCCGGGACGGGGCGAAGTCCCAGCCCAGCGTTCCCGGTGCGGGCGGCGCGCGAGGGCTGCCCTGCGGCCGGAGGCGAGCGCCGGGGGGCAGAGGACGAGGGGGCCGTCCTTGCTCGTGGAGAGAGCCACCAACGCGCCCTTCCGCCTTAACGGGGGCGCCCAGGACCGGGCCTGCCGTGGGAGGTGAAGAAGAGCGGTACCTTGGCGTGCACGTTAACCCAACAGCAGGGTGGGAGCACGCCAGGAGAAATGGGCGAGCCAGGGCAGGGCGAGATGGGAGCACCTGGCCTGCAGGTGAGAGGAGGAAGGGTCGCTCCGTCCCACAGAGATTCTTAACTTTTTTTGGCCATTGTCGTTGAGGTTATGTTAGATCACAGGATCCTGTCCCCAGAAAATATGTGGGACGAATGCAGCTATCAAGGATTTTGGAATTCTCTAGATCTTTCAGACCTCTAAGAGGTGAAAGAGGGATTAAAGTGATAAATGATTAACCCAATTTGAACTCCTTTAAAACCACGCATCGAAAACCTGAAAGCTGGTTGGATTTTTAACTTTTTTTCCCGTATTAAGGACTGAACTCAGGGTACACTGGCTGCATCCCTAGCCGACAGAGAGACAGAGAGACAGAGAGAGACCAAGTAGCCCAGAATCACCTCCCACCTCAGCCGCCCAAGTAGCTGGATCACAGGAGTGTGCAACTACCCAGCTGGAAAGATTTTTAAAAAGCGAAGCACACTGTTTAGTCTGCAGGCTGAGACCCATTCTTTCCTTTTTGTAATGCCTTTCACATGTTATTCCAACAGACACAAGGCTGAGTACGACCCTGATTCAGGCACACTGATGATTGTTCATGCCTTGGAGCAGAAATTGAGATTTTATTATGCTTAAAGTATGATGAAATCATTAAAGGTGTCATCCAGCAAGGCGCAAATCCTGAGGGAAGATACTAACAACTTAGCATTTGCAGTTCAA